CAGAAGGGGACATTGTGCAAATATGTACGGTGATAACGGAACTACATTTGTTGGAGCAGCACGCCTATTCGAAGATGAAATCACAAAATTGTTACAATCACAATCTGTGCAAAATACAATCGTCAACTTAGGAACAGAATGGCACTTCATTCCACCTGCAGCCCCTCATTTCGGAGGACTATGGGAGGCAGGTGTAAAATCTATGAAGCACCATCTCAAGAGAGTTATTGGAGAATGCACTTTGACCTATGAAGAATTAACAACGTTGGTGTATCAAATCGAATCATGTTTGAACTCAAGACCACTCTACCCGCTAACAGAAGACACAGATGATTTCAACATCTTGACCCCAGGACACTTTCTCATAGGAAGAGAACTTCTAGCTCCACCAAACTTAGAATCGACAGAACATTTTAACCTATCTCAACGATGGAGACACGTGCAAAAGTTAAAGAAAAATATTTGGAGCGCATGGTGCACAGAATATCTCACCAGACTGCAGCAAAGATACAAATGGAAGAATCAGACCAACAATATACGAGTAGGGACAATGGTCCTAATCAAAGAAGAAAATATAAACCCAAACCAATGGCCATTGGGGAGAATTATAGAAACTCACCAGGGTCAAGATGGAGCAATCCGAGTGGTAACAATAAAGAAAGTAGGTGGCTCACCACAAAAAAGACCGATCCACAAGTTAATCCCATTACCGACAGAAGACATACACAATTTACCAACCACCCAAAACCACTCATCAGAGGTACGGAGAGCAGACCGACTACGGAACGTAGCATCAACATCAGCAAAATCATATCTATTGTTTTTCCTAGCAGCCATAATTATGATGATTACAACCGCCGCTGCAGAAACAGGGTTTAAAATCAACTATCCACAACATGGTTTTTACGTTGAACACCTTGGATCAGCAAAAATTGATAGAGGGATTTTCAGGATAGAGACAACGTATCCTAAGAACAAAACTGAAACGGAATTATCAGAGGTATCCACAGTCGTCAACCAATTCAAAAATATGTGCAACGAATCCAAGAAGCTCACCGATGAAGTCAAATGCACATCTCTCGTACAACACTTAGAAGAAATGGAAAATCACTCCAAATGGATATTTGCTCCCATGGCCGACATTCACCACAGAACTAAGAGAGGACTATTTGGAAAATTTTTGACTGCGGTTTTTGGAGTGAATGACGAAGTATATCAAGATATCGAGGCAATGAACAACAATCAGGAAGAACTCATCAGAGCATCGAACTCAAACAAAGTTCATGATCTCGGCCCTCACAAAATTCAACGAAACAGAAGCCAGAATCACGAACAAACTACAACATTTCCAGAAACGTCTCAACGAAGGAATAGAAGCTATCAACAGCATTCAGAGTTGGTACAAGCAAATAGACACTAATGCCCTTAACATTCACCTATTGAGTGCATACCAAGTAGCTACCAACTTCATCAGCGAAACCAATGAGCACTATGATGAATTGCTGAACATCAACTTCAACAGGGGTACGATATATGACCAAGTTTCACCAGCATATATCAACGCCGTCATTCAAAAATCCAATCGGAAGCTCCCAAACAATCTAAAGATTCTTTCGGCAGCAGTGTCCACAAGATTAATCACCAACAACACGCACCTCAAGGTGTGTGGATATTTTCCAATAGTTGACGTGACAGAATTCACCCTATTGAAGGCAACACCGATTCCACTCAGAATTGAGAATGAAACATACTGGGCGTTGGACCTTCACGATTCACCGCCGTCGACTACAACAGTCAAACATACTTTCAGCTCCATGAAAGCGACCTCCAACAGTGCATGCAGCCCTACCCACACCAGCTCATCTGTTCTCCAGTTTCTGTTAGAAACATTGAATCTAATCCGTCCTGCGTCATCGACGAAATTTATGAACGACCGCAACCCAGACATTGCCATATACAACAACACAGGCTAAAAGGCATCCTCTGGAAACGACTATGTACAACGAATACATGGATGTTCATCGCAGGATCGTCTACAACAATAGCGGTGATATGCAACGGCGAGCGGGAAGAGGTAGGAATAAACACAACGGGAATAATCCAAATTTCTCAAGATTGCACCATCCAGACAAAACAGAACATTCTAACTCCCATAAGAAGCGCAATCGTTCCAGTGCTAGGCAGCTATGTAAAAGCTGTACCCATAATCTTCAATGGTACTCTCCACAAACATCCACCGTCAGATATAGCCACCGAGCCTGTGTTTAGAGAATCCGATAGTTTTGGAGACTTAGTAAGAGAAGAAGAGGACCTCGGTGATCGACTTCATAACAAAGTATGGCGCAGTATTCATCACCACTCCGCAGCCACTAGCAGCATCACCACCATAGTCATCATTATACTAGTGATTGCAGGATGGCAAATAACAAAACTTATCAACAGAAGGCGTCAAAAGCAGACAAGAGACCAACACCAAGACCAAAAAGAAGAGATAGAGCTAATGTCTCTGCATTCTTCCAGTCTGGAGAGGCGGCAGAATGTTTAATTAGAACAATTAAACAGTGATTAACCTTCGCCGGCGTAATTTGACCGACTTCGTATATTTATATTTTATTCAATATCACGGTCAGCTTGCTATATGAGATTTTAGTTAGTCACAATGTTTGGGTAATATAAAAATATCCAAAACATTGTAAGTTGCATTCCAGCATGCATTTAAATAATTACGGTCACAATGTTTTATATTTTTGCAGTTTTTGTCACGATTAGTTTATCAAAATTCAATATAAAAAGGGATGTAAGAGTCGAAATAAATCAGTATTCATCTAGCATCAAAAGGTGTTTTACTCAAATCGTTTCCTGTGCCCAAGCCTTCTTGGCCACCGCAAAGAGTGAGGCTGCTCTTTGACAGAAAACGATACAATCGTCCCACTGCTCAACTAAGCCGAGTTGGGCAAGCGTAATCTGCGAGCTCAGCTTGCACACACTCACACTATCAAATTACGTGTACGAGCGATTTAGAAAAAAATAATAAAAAAAATGGCATCAGATATTCAGCCTATTTCGTTTTAAATGGTATACCCTGTATAGGTATAGGTACGAATAGACATCGTCCCTAAAAGTTTTAGCCGCAAAAATCGAAATCTTGGTATTTTTGTGAACGCATATTTTCAAAGCTTGGAACTTATGTTTTTCTGATAAAAAGTTAATAAAAACTGCATAAAACTATAAAAAATGCTGTATATGTATATGTTAACCATTCTGTTCCAGGCATCTATGGACCAGTAAATGGTTGAATAAATTGTTAAACATTTCCTGGAGAATCGCTACGACATTACAAATGTTCCGCTTAAGATCTTCCAGGCTATTTGAGCTATCGAGCAAAGTATTAGTGCATCTTTCCTTGACATAACCCCAGAGAAAAAAGTCTAGAATTTTCAAGTCAGGAGAATAAGGTGTTTATTATATAGGACCAGCTCTCCTTATCTAGTGATTCCCTTGCTATTAAAGAATAATGAGGTGAGGGCACCATCCTGCTGAAAATAGATAACATCCAAGATACCCTCCTGTCTTAACTGTGGGAAAAAGAACATATCAGTGTATACAGTTTCTGTTATCGTTAGTTCATTAATGAAAATGGTCTGTATTTTTTTTTTTCAATAGAAATTGCACACCAGACTGTTACTGTTGAGGTATCTCTATTTTTCTATTTAACGAGTTCTAGAGAAGATACTCTAGAACTCGTTAAATTTTCTTGGAAAATGTATTTTAACTTAATTCATATTTTACTAGACAGTTACAAAATTGTTTGCCATAGTGCATAAAGTTGCATGCATTTGCAAAAATACTAAGATTTTCATTTTGATTTTTTACGGTAAAACTTCAAGTTTTATGGACGATGTTTATTGGTACATGGATACCTTGAACATGAACCTTTTTATTGACGTTGTGATATACAGGGTGTTCTATTAGAAACAGTGGAGAATTTCGATGTTGGAAAACAGATTTTTTTTTACTCACCCTGTATAAGTTTCGAAAAATTTTCAACCTACTGAAAAAAACTTTAGGCCAAGAGAAATCGAATGGCACAAACCGCAAGTAGCTAGCACACCTGGTTTAAAAGTTATAAGATTTCAAAGTGGGTCACTCTCGGCTGGGACACCCTGAACTATAAAATTCAAATTTTATCAAGAGCACTTCTTAAATAATTTACGATACCAATAATTCAACTATGTTACTTCCATAAGCATTTCTTTAGATCTTAATCATGTTCGATAAAAAGTGAGATCTCAGTCACAAAAGTTATGTTCCACTAAACCCCCGCATTTCGCCATGCTTATATGTATCAGCATATTAATATTATATAAAGGAATCTAGGATTGAAATCTAGTTAGTTCATTTGTACTGTTCTTAAGAAAATAAAGTTTTTTAAAAAGGGTTTCCTGTTTACCTATCAGTCACGTAACTCAAACATAGGTAGGTATGTTGGCATTAGGCCCCCAGAAAAACCCCAACCATAACCAACTAATCAAAACAACGTTCAGCTGAGTTTAGCACATCAATTCTCACAATATATGCATTTCTATTTCAAATTCCAACCTCATCAGTGCAAATAGATTCCCTCTTCACCGCAATTTCTCGTCGAAAATTCGCAGTGTTCATAAAATATGTGCCAGAGGGGTGTGTGTGTGTGTGTGTGATTGTGTGTGCATCGGAAAGGCAACAATTTCGGCTGTCGCGACTGATTTATACACTTTAAAATTATCAGAAGAGCCCCGCGATGTGTAATTCAACTTTAATTGCCCTTTTAAACTAACCCAGCCGACTGGTGGCTTATTACGGCCTCGAAACTCATTTTGAACTTTATGAGTTGTTGCTCTTTACTCGCGCGCCACACACAGTGTGACCCACCACTCGGGGAAATATTACGTTGTTAAATCAATTTCCATTTTATAGGTACCGACCAATAATAATTAATTAAGTATGTTTTTTTTTTGCAGAACACGATTGTACAGAATTCCGATGCAATCTACGAGAATTTTGTATAGCAACTGATTTGGTTTGCGATGGAATCAATCATTGTGCAGACGGATCAGACGAATCGTCCAATAATTTATGCCAAAGTAAGTTTAAAACTAGATAGGTAAACTAAAAAAAAATCTGCCAACAACTATCAAAAATCACTTTTTTATAATAATATTTTCTTTACAGACAACGATACGGGTACCATCCTGGGCCTGGAGGTCACGTGGTTCGTAGTAGTAGTTATCAGTACAGTTTTAGTACTGCTGGTAGTTATTGTAGCAGTATCAGTGTGCGCTTGTAGACACGGAAGTTGGAATAATAGACACGGGAATTCTGTACAGCAACAGAATGCGTCCTATTCATGTAAGTATTTCAAAAATCAGGAATTTATATCATTCACTTCCAAGATAGACATGGCTAAAATGCATTCAGAGAAGACATGATGGGCTTAACAATATTCAACAGAGCACAAGTAATGCTGGAAGAAAATGTTTCTTTGGTATTCTGTGTTAACTTTGATCGTTGCGATACGTAGTGCAAAGTTTGTGCAGTGTATATTTTGGTAGTAGGTACATTATATGCCTGAATTCCAGAATTAATGTTTGATTATTGTTTTCAGTAGCGCAAATGTATGGCTCAAACGGTCACATGCCAGTAAAACCGGGTGGTGGTAGTACCACGACCCTAGCCGACGGAGGAATGTTACACGCGACGTCGGGAAACTGGTGCCACCCTGCGGGCCCACAAGGGTTCCGCACGCATCCGGCCCGGGGCCGCCCCTACTGCCCGGCAGGGTAGCCGCGCCGCCCGCGGTCGCCCCTCAGAATGGGGGGAGCGACGCGCCGTCCGCGCAGCAGAAGGACGAGTGGTTCGTCTAACAGTAGGTGAGGATCTATAACAGCTATTATTATTTTACAAATTAAAGTTGAAGAGAATTTTGAATTGAACTATAAACGAGTTTGATGAGGTTCTAATAACTCCACAGATGGACGGAGCATTTATTCATAAAATACGCATTGTAGTGTTGGCATCAAGCTCATAGGCAACGGGAAGAAAGTAGTACTGGCGGAAATTGAAGGGATTAGCCAGAAATAATAACCATTTGTGCCAAGATACTGACAAGGCTTCCAATGAATTTGTGGTGATGTCGAAAAAGAAACCGGTTCTAGAAACATCTAGAGGAGATTTAATAAAAGTTGGGAGTATAGGCAGCATTGAACTGAAGGCTAGACGAGATGAACACCACACCATAGTAGTGGAACGAACAAAAATAGGTAGGATGGAACTCTTGCGGCATACTACTTACTCCATTCCAACAAGGTTTTTCCAGTGAAGGTAAAGATAGCCAGTGTATCGACAAGCCGGGTGACATGAAAGAAAGGGATGGTCATCGGTAAATGTAGCCTGTCTCAAATGTTCTGATCTAGTCTTTCAAACTAATGGAGAAATGTCTTTCACTCTTTGTGCAAAATAATGTTAGTGGACGAGCCAGCCTAACAGAATACCGCATCAATACAGCAAGTATTACATCTATTCGACAACTTCCACGAAGACTTCCGCCGAGTCATATCAAGTTGTTACCATACCTCAAGAAATGCTAAAGGATGACCTCATAGAAAAATCTAATAGTCCATGGCTTTCGCTGTTCTTACTAGTTTCGAGAAAGAAATACCCTCAATACCCTAGCAGACTCCAAGTGGTTTTGAACTATAGACTCATAAAACGGATATTGACAGGTGAAACTCAATAGAGATAATAAGTGTAAGAAGACGAATAGAAGATACTCTATATTTGAAGCTCACTTTATTACTTTCTGTCAAGTTTCGACATCTGTCCTAGTTACCTTTTCCTACCTATAATATATCTACTAGTACATCCCCCTTTCTTCACAAACACAAACTTAACTAAGTAACAACAAAAGAATACATAATAAATATGATTTTACAGATCAGGTAAACGTTTTAAATATCTTCTATTTCTTCTATATATCTGTCCATTGTTTGTTTCAACCTTATAAGATCGAGGAGCCACTTCATCTTGAACGAATGCTTCTTTTTGATTATCTGAAATCCATACCCTCTGCCCTCTATCGTATTGTCCAACATTCCGCGCTCTATGTCTTTGGTCAAAATAGTATTTCTGTTGCTTCTTCTCTTTTTCCTTATTCTGGTTAATTTTTTTAAAATCTGGCAATTTTGATTTCAAAAATGATTTTGGAACTTCTATTTGCTCTCGTAAATTTTTTCCCATCAAAAGTTGACTTGGACTCGCGCCACAACTCAGAGATGTATTTCTGTAGGCAAGTAATCCTAAGTTGAAATCCTCTGACCTTTTAAGAATCTTTTTAGCTGTTTTAACACCACTTTCTGCCAAACCATTTGATTGTGCATGATATGGGCTGCTTGAACGCCATTCAAATCCATAAGTTTTTGCAAAATTTTTGAAGAATAAAAAATTGTATTGGGGTCCATTATCCGTACGTAATATTTTTGGAATTCCAAACCTGGCAAATATTTTCTTGAGTTCTTCTACTATAGTTGCACTAGTTGTATTTTTCAATTCAATTACTTCCAAAAACAAACTATAATAATCTTGTACAACCATATACATTTTGTTTTTAAATTGGAATAAATCCGATCCAACAATCCACCAAGGTAGACTAGGGATTTCCAAATTTAAAATCGGTTCAGTCACAAGAGGTTTATCTTTTATACATATCTCACAATTTTCAATAAGATCTTTAATTTGAGAAGTTATTCCTGGCCACCAAATCATTTTTTTGGCTCTTGCAATACATTTTGTAATTCTTAAATGTCCTGTGTGTATAAATTTCAGATATTTTCTTTTTAAATTTGATGGAACTATTATTTTATCATTGTACATAAGTAAATTTTCCACCAAAGCAATTGCTGTCCTATATTTATAAAATGGAAGTAGCTCTTTATCACATAAATTTCTATTTTCAGGCCATCCTTTAAACAAATACTCTTTCAACTTGATTAACGTCAAATCTTCTTGTTGGGCTTGCTGTAAATCCTGATATTCTGCTGTAATTGTCAGACTTGCAATAGTCTTAAAATTTTCTTCCAATATATCTAGATCTTCTGTTCCAATAGGTAATGGAGCTCTGCTAAGAGCATCTGGTCCAGTAAGTTCTTTCCCAGGTATGTAAGTCACAAAATAATCATAAATTAGAAGTTTCATTCTGAAATTTTGCAATCTTACTGTTAATTCGTTAATAGGTTTCTTTGTTAAAATTTCTACCAGAGGCTTATGATCAGTTCTAATTTCAAATTGTTTTCCTTATAAAAATTGCCTAAAACGATTAACAGTATACGTTATTCCTAGAGTTTCTTTTTCTATCTGACTGTACCCTTTTTCTGGTTTACTTAGTGACTTGGAACAATAAGATACAGGTCTCCAATTTCCATCTGGTTGTTTTTGTTCAATTATTCCTCCTATCCCTAGCATAGAAGTATCTGCAGATACTCTGATGTCATATTTAACATTATATGCTGCAAGAATTGGAGCTTCTGTTAACATTTTTTTTATATCGGAAAAACATTTTTTTTGTTCTGGACCCCATATAAATTCGTTATTTTCTTGCAACAATTCTCTTAAAGGAGACGTTTTATCTGAATATTTATTTAAAAATTTTGTAATATATGTCGTTAATCCTAAGAACCTTCTAACTTCCGATACTGTTTCCGGTTTTGGAAATTTCGTAATTGCTTCTACATAATCTTTGTTTGGTTCAATTCCCTTATCGCTGACTATATATCCTAAATAATTTATTTTATTTGCGCCAAATGAACATTTTTCCTTATTTAAAGTAATTCCATATTCATTTAAAGTTTTCATTACTTTTAATAAATTTTGATCATGTTCTTGTTTATTTCTGTCACTAATTAAAATATCATCTCCATGTACGGTTACAGAATTAACTCCACAGACGTCTATAATCTGATTTAAAGTTTTCTGAAAAACTTCTGGCAAAGAACATATTCCAAATGGACAAGTTTTATAGGCAAATCTACCGAAAGGACTTATAAAAGTTGTTAAAAGTTTTGAAGATTCAGAAAGCTTTAACTGGTGGAAACCTTTGGAACAATCCAGTTTTGAGAACAAAATTCCATCTTCTATTTTAGCTAACGTTTCCTCAACTGATGGTAACTGATAAAGTTCTCTTTTAACAAATTTATTTAGATTTGTATAATCTACACATATTCGGATTTTATCACCTTTTTTTTTTAGCAACTACAATAGGTGAACACCAATCGGTAGGTTGATCTACTTTCTCAATTATTCCATCATTTATTAATTTATTTAATTCTTGTCGAACTTTTTCTATTAGAGGCATTGGAATCCGTCTTGGTACAGATACACTATAAGGCTCTACATTTTCAGCTAATTTTATAGCATACTCAAAATTTTTAATTCTTCCAATGCCTTTAAACAAATTTGGAAATAAATCAGTTAAGTATTGTTCATAATTACTTACTTTTATTTCGTTGATAGGTGAATTTTTAACATTTTTGTTTATAATTAAATTTCCATCTTTCCATTTGATGATTTTCAATTTTTCAAGTGCTGGTCTTCCTAAAAGGTTATCGTTCGTATCTGCCACAAATATTTTGATCTTCTCTCTAATATCCCTGTATTTTACATCAACTTTAATTTTTCCTTTGGTATTAATCTTAGCATTTTCCCCAGCACCAACTAACATAACGCAAGTTTTATGTAATTTTGGTTTTTCTTTCAACATATTATAGGTAGCATATGATAAAACTGTGGTATCTGCACCAGTATCAATTTTAAAATTTACCATTTGTCTTTGGATTCCCAATTTTACAATATACGGAGCATTGTGATGTGTGCATATATTTCCAATAATTTTTATTTCATTACATTTATTTGGATTTTCAAATTCGTCACTGGATTCTGTCGAAGAATATGATAAGTCCTGACTGGTTGTTGGCATTACTGTTTGCTTATTTATTTCCTTAATACTTTTTGTTCTACAATATTTTGCGTAATGTCCTCTCATGCCACATTTTGAACATACAATCTTAAATGCAGGGCACTGCTGAATTATATGTTTATTTTTTGAACCACATCTTGAACATTTTTCATTTTTTTCATAATTCTTGAATTTGGTGAATTTTGAATTTTTCCTTACAGTATTTATTTCTTTGAAATCCAAAAACCTATTTCTCAATTCTCCGTTTTGTTTTTTAATACATTCAGCCTGATTGATTTTTGTTATTGTTGATTCAAGCGTCAAAAATGTATCCAACTGTAAAGATTCTGAAAGACTTTTATCCAAAATTCCAACCACAAGACGATCTCTTATTAATTCATTTTCTATAATACCATAATTACATTTTTTTTGCTAATTTAATTACTTCTTCAATGTAGTCTTGAGAGGTTTCTCCTTCGATTTGGTTTCTCAAATTGAATTTAGCCCGTTCATATATGATATTAACAGTTTTCTTAAAATATTTATTAAAATCGTCGATAAGACTCGTATAAGTTTGATAATCCTCTTCTTTTGTCTGCAAACGATCAAAAATTTTCCCAACATCTTTTCCCATAAAAAGTAGAACATTGTTAATTTGGGTATTTTCAGAGTAATTTTGAAGTTTGATTGCAGCACGGTACCTTTCATAGTGTTTCAACCATTTTTCCCATTCATCCTTTCCAAATAAAAATTTTTCAGGCTTTGGGACGTCTCTAATGCTGCTCTCTGAAGTTTCTCGTGTGGGTTCGGTTTGACTTTCCCGTCGTCCAAAAACATTTTGCTGCGCCAGCAATGCTTGCAAATTTTGAACCTGTGTTCTCAAATCTTCTATATTTTCTTCCACATCTAAAGGTGGATTTTCAT